TCTCTCTCTCTCTCTCTCTCTCTCTCTCTCTCTCTCTCTCTCTCTCTCTCTCTCTCGTCATTAAAAATGCATGGGAAGGACTCCGTAACGATTATTCAAATGATCGGGTCTGGAATCGCGCCAAGAATCAGAGAGCCTCACCTGGTCGAATCCTGCCGACAGACTCCGCCGGCGATGCTGCTGCTCTGCGTGCTAACCCGGACGAGGGTGACGTTCCTGGGCAAGCCGGAGAGAGTGCTGCTCGCGACGACCTTCTGCCCCAACAGAGGCGATTCCGCTCGCGCCGCACTCTCCAGAACTTCCCTCGACGGCCGGCCTTGCGTCCTCTCATCTTCCTCCTCTTCCTCGATAGTTCCCGGCAGGCGGAAAAGTTTCTGCGACGGCTCCTCCATCCTCACCGTCCGCCACCTCAAGAGGTGAACCACGTCGATTTGGAATCCATGCCGGCAGCTGCTTTTCTTCGTATCTTCTTCTTCACTTCACTTCTTTCCTCTGATTTCCTTCACTTCTCTTTACTCGATCTCTGCTTCAGACTCTGGTTGTTAAGGTCGACCCTTACGCGGACCGACCCATGTTGATTCTCTCGATCATCGTCTCTTTCCTCGTCCTCGATTAATCCTCGACTTGGGTCTGTCTTCGCTTCCTTCTTCCAATTAGTTAGAGATGCCGTGATCTCCGTTCGAAGTTGGCCGCCGATCATCCGACATCGCTCGGTCTTCCCAGGTCCCGGTCCCCCTTTGAGCCTGCAAGATCAATTACGTTCGAGTAAAGTTTCAAGCGAGCGAAGGGCGTGATGCGAGCACCGCTGTGTACTTTCCCGGTTGACGTTTTTCCGCGCTTTTCCGACACGTTAGGAGCACACCGCACGCGCGTCGCGCTCGCGACTGTTTCGGATTCGCGCTCTATTCGCACGCGAGATCTCACCATGGAGCGCGTTTACCTCTTTAGTGCGCGCGGGCGGGGATAATACGCACGCCGTAATCATTGAGTGCACGCACGTCAAACTCGTTTCAGGCGATCCGTCATTCAGCGCAGTGGTCTATTTGGGATTTGCAAGTCTCGCGGCCAAAGGAAACTTGGAGCGGACCGGAATTTAAATTCAAAGGTGAGAAGGCGTCACGTGATAAGCACACGACAGAGGCGGGAGAATTCAAACTCGTGGAAAGTTCTCTGGAATGAAGATCTACGCAAGATTGAACGGATTTCGGCTTTATTATCGGAGTTCGGTCTGAAGACATAGGATTTGATGGAATGCAAAGCATTGTTCATATAAAATGCTCGCGATAAGAGGGATTTCCGTTAAGAATATGCGCACACATCGTTTCAAATAACTCTCGCCAGTTCTGTGATCTATCATTTATCGTTGTTAAGAATGAAAAACGGACAAAGAATGAGTAAGTAAAATACTCGAAATGGGTCTGAGGTCACGTGGAATCTAACGCGGCGTAACGTTTGAGCGCGTTTCCTCCCGCGCCGGAAACGTGTGTCGACGGGCACGCGAAGGCACACGAGAGTCGTTATTAACCCTCTACATAGATTTACAGATCCATAGATCCTCCACGTTCGCGTGTCCGAACGAGCTCATTCTAAAAATAAAAAATAAAACTCTCGCGCTTTTTCAACGGAGAGGGAAAGGAAAGAACGGTAGATTTACACTTAATTCGAGGGTGCATTTCACGAAATTAGGATTCAAAGGAGTTCTGGATCTTTCTTTTTTCTCTCTCTCTCTCTCTCTCTCTCTCTCTCTCTCTCTCTCTTTCTGTCTGTCTTTTCCTAGATCTCTGTTGTGTCACCGCACTGTTGCTCGTTTCTCTCACTGTGAAACGTCATGTACATATTGGCACACACCTTCATGGATTCCGTGCATGACCACGATGTTCGCCTCGCGAAAGCGTTCAGCGCCAAAGCGACCAGTTATCGTGGTTTCCAAATTTTTCAAACTACCCGCCGATCTCCGTACGAGCACGCACTACAACAAACACGTGAAGATGTTTCCGCTCGTAAACTTCGTAACGGTAATATACGTGTGATATGTCGACGTTGCGGAACTACGAGGAGTCAACTCCTCACTCTCGCGACGCGAGAAGAGGCGCATCAACGGGCTTTTTCGGTGACGTCATCCGTTTGATCTCTCTCATCTTCCCTTCCCCTCTCAACGTCTCTCTCTCTCTGTCTCTCTCAACGTCTCTCTCTCTTTCTCTCTCTCCCTCTTTGTCTTCCTTTCCAGTAACCTTCCAACTGCCTCCTACTCGTTCGCGAGATCAACAATCGACGCGAAAGCACCGCTGCCGAGAGATCGAGTCCACGTCTCGCATTTACTTAATAAATACACTTTAAACTTTTTCCTTGGAAAAGCCCGTGTCCCTAGGGAGACTACTGTACACACGTTAACGTCCGCGAGAACTCACTTTCACCCAAAGAAATTCAAAATTGTTGAATATGTGTGTTCTCACGCTCACAGAAATGTCGGCGAATCCAGGTAGAGACAGCCTAAATTGCCGTAACTGGGCCACAAAGATGTCACGCAGTGCACTCGGTACGACTTAAGTCCCTCTAATTGCGCAGCATCCGGGCCTTAACGATTAAAGAGCGCAGCGTGCTCGCTGCGTCCTTGTGCCCGGCGTGTAACATATCCTATCGCGCTTCCTGGCTCGCGCGTAACGATGATCCTCTTCCTCTTTTGCCTCTCAGTCTCAAAACTATTGCGGGCTTCTTAGATATCGTTACAGTCATCATTCACTCGTATTTACTCGAAAACAGGCAGAATTACATGGCAATTAAGCCGTGCGCCAGTATTCTTCTAACATCACAAACTTTAAAACAACGACTAATGGAACATATGGAGGAGCACTAATACGAAACATAAAACGACAACTTCAAAAGTACGACACATAGTCAAAGAACTCGTTCCCAAATTATACTAAACTCATATTTGAAAGTATAAACGTTATACAGGCTGTGAAGAAAGAATAATAAATATATATGGACGTAAAGTCTCCGTTTCTTTTCCTCTCTTTGATATTTATGAAGAAGATTTGAAAGAAGAAGGTGCCGTTTTTTTTTTACAAAATTCAAACAAAAAGCGGACGCAAAAAGTGTCGCCGATTATTACCATTCGCGATGCGCCTGGCGCTGAATAATCAGTGCATCAGACCGAGGACAGACGAAGTGTGTCCACGATTCATCTCGGCAACGTGATACGCTTTTCCCATTCTTAACAGCGCGACCGCGCGCTGTCATCCTAGACGTCGGCCATTGTCACCGAGACATCAATGTCACTCCCGGCGTCCGCCTTCGTGGTGGATCTCATGCGTGCATAATTAATACGACTCGCGCGTCTCCGCGCATTGCACGTGGATTGTAAACGTCGAAATTTCAGCGAAATGGGCCGCACTCGCCGAACTGGAGGTGCTCGCCTTCGACACTGTGACGTTAGCAACTGGCTGAAGGGCACGGGAGAAAAAGAGAGAGATGGTAGACGGACTGATAATCAAGTGCCGGGGGTCATGGGAGTGATAGGCGGAATTAGCTTAGTACCGGGAAGTGGCCTCATTATCACGCCAGTCAATCGCTTAATCTCGCCGCTTGTTTAACACGCCGTTGAAGCGTGTATGAGTGCGTGTTCGCTTGTTTGCGTTGCTCGCGTGCCTAAGTTTCATGCTTGGCAGAAAGGAATTTCGTTATTCACCTGTGCTCAGTGAGTGGGGCAAAATGTGTTCTGGGAATGATCGCGATTCGCTTCCTCCTCGAGGAGGAAGCTCGTCTTCTTGGCACTATCCTGGACTTTGTGGCCGTCGTATAGGCTGGACCTCGTGAGCGCCGGAACGGAAGAATGCTGCGTCTCCGAACAATCCATGCAATGTCTGCACGAGGACAAAACAGAACAAAGTATTCTTAGGAGATTCTTCTACATTAGATAGTAATGTCTGCAGAAGCAGATTTTGGCCAGTGTTCGCTGGGAATTTTATTGGCAACTTGCCAGCAGAAATACAACAGGATCCGCTAGCAGAGCATAATGACAGTTTAAAGGCCAAGATCGAGCAGGATCTGTCATTCCGTAACCATTTAAATGCATTTAAACGGAACACGCCGCAGAGGACGATTTTTTTGGTCAATCTGCTGTCGAGTTATGTCAGCAGGCTCTGACAGAACTTAATGCGGACACAGATGGATCTACTGCGGTATTCTGGTCGAATCTGCTGCCAATCTGCTAGCATAGAATGCTAAATTTTACTCAATGAGACATTTATTTTAATGGTTCATTGTAACAAAAGTTAAAGTCAATAGGGAGACACGAAGTAATAGTGAGCTTTTAAGGAAAATTCTTTTTTGAAGATTATTATTAAGAAAGGAGATATTCCGCGAAAAATCTGTAAAGATTTATTTAAAAAAATTGAATGAGAAGTGTTTTTACTCACTCGGTATTCACGTTGCTTCTGGAGGATGGATTCTTCCTCGTCTCGCTTTCTGGTATTTCTTCTACGATCGAATTCGATCTCGCGTCGCTTTTTTTCGAGTCTAACGTTGTTTTCGATTCATTTCGTTGTATCCTAACTTCTGTGCCGTTCTGCTTCTTGTTCTTTATCAAACTCGCGTTAATATCTTCGAGGATATGCTCGTAATCTTCTTGATTCTTCGAGTTCTCGTATTCGATACTGTTTGTCGTCTGTAAAAACATAGATGGGATAATTACATAAAATTATAATTAAATGTACCTGTCTCTTTCTCTCTTGTATTAATGTATCTATTTATCTAATATTAATTGACGACTCGCCTCTTCTTGAGCGTAGAATGACGGCGGCACGTCAGGATGCAGAGTGACGCTTTTCCGTTTACAGGAACTTTCTGGATCGGTGATTATCACCGAGATAGGGTTTGGAAGTGCCGTAGACACCATCACCGGCATCGACGTTTGTGTATGTAGATCGCCGGAAGAGGATCTCAAGCTCAAACGCCTCGAACTGATGGTCGAACAACTGCTACTGGAAGCTTCGTTGGAGAATGCACCTGGACCGGTGCGTTCTGGCGAACAGAAATTTCATCCACGTTCATTTTGAAAAACTAAGAACACTCCCATCCGAAGAACGTGTGTAATTCCTTTGATTACTATCAAAGGAATTGAGTAAATAACGAAAAGCCCGTACGATTCTCCCTCTAATCAGAAAGATTCAAGTAAGAATATTTCTTCTGCAGGTCTACCGCACCTGTATTCGAGCGATGATGCATCGCGCGGATGCGGTCGAGTTCGGCGGCGCTGCAGAGCGGCGTGTCCACCTCGTAGGTGTTGTTGAAGAGCATGTAGTTGACCTCGTATTCACCAGTCTCTTTGCGGAACGTGATGATAGACTCGAACCGGTGACCCCACAAGATCTCAGACGGTAAATAGGAACTTCTCGCTTGCGTCGTCATGCCGGTCGACTCGATCACTCCTGTTAATATTCACGACATATAAAGAGAATATTCTATTTCTTTTTGTATACATTTTTTTCAATTTTGCTATGTTTCTTGTAGTGCATATGGACAAAACAACTCCGCTAGTGTAATTGAATTTTCTGTTATCCGAGAGCCGGATGAAAAACTTGCTGATAGGAACAATTTCTGTAGGAGGTTTCTACAAAGTCGATACCTAAATCGAATTTTAAAGCAACTGAATGTTCAGACGAATGTTTTTTGTCACGACGATAGAAGTATTATCCCTCGTCGGCAAATTTTTCACTTTGTTCTCATTTAGTTACACGAAATTTTCCGTCAGAATGGACTGTTGGCAAGATCTGTTTTGCTGAGAAACATAGCAAAATCCGCTGGAACGATAACAAATTTTTTAATAGTATTTCAGTTCCTAAAATATAAATAATAATACATATGAAATGTTGACCTACTCCTACAAAATCCTATAATAATAATTTTTGCTGTAAGACTTTTTTCGTAGTTTATCACTGTCGCTAATTGTTCTCAAATTTTAACAAATTTCAAATATCATGGCGTGTGTACGTCAATCTTTTATGCATACTCTTAACAATGAGAAATAACAGCGTTCTTACCTTCCAGTATCACGACGATCTCGAATCGCTCTTGCAGCATGTCGCTGGCCGATATTCGGTAGAGCGGCGATTTCCGGTCGATCTTGTGCACGATTGTGGTGGGCCAGATGAAGAAGATCTTATCTTCTTCGCCGTCGCCGCCGACCTTCAGCTCTGTCTGGAAGAACGGCAGCAATTCGCCCTCCTTCGACACCTGATAGACACAAGACGCGTTTGATTAGAGAATCAGGGTCGTGATTATCATCATCTCGCCCTGACTATTATCTCACTACCGTCTCCTCTTTTGTATTACCGAAACTTTATCGCTATTCCGCAATGCTGTTGTGCTGGATCCTCTCAAATCTATCGTACCTTTCTCCTGATCATCTGAGCGCGCACGTGGGCTTCAATGATGTGACTCTTGCGCATATCGCCAACGCGAAACATGAGGCAGGGCTGGCCGTCTCGCTGGCAGATGACGGCATTGCGCGAAAACAGAAGGGTCTGAGTGCGCTTTTTGGGTCGTGACAGCTTGGCAAACACAATGCCGACCATGAACGCTTGTAGGATCACGCCCGTCATCGACTGGATGCACAGCGTGAAGATCGCTTCTGGACATTCGTCTGTAATGTGTTTCGCTCCGTACCTGCATCATTCATATCTTCATAAGGAATTTGTAATACAATATTAGCACGCGGATAAAATAACAACGTAAAGTATATAATTAACCCAATTGTGTGCTGCGTCTCGACAGAAAATAAGAAGCAGCTGGTGAAACTGCGGATATCTTCGACACAGGGCGTGAAGTTTTGATTAGTGAAATGAGGCTCCAAGTCACCGTGGCTGTAGGCGATCAGCCACCATATAAGCGCGAAGCCCAGCCAAGATAACAGGAAATTCATAGAGAACACCAACAACGTCCATCGCCACTGTGCGTCCACCAGCGTCGTGAAGATGTCCTACGATTCGATTGTATTTTATTATATGTGATTCTTATCGCGAGAAATATGCAGCGAAAGACTTAAAATAGAGAAACCAGATTTTTGAATTTGTAATATAACTATCCTCTTCTGCATTTAATGCAGAGGAAACAACTCACCTGAAGATATCGCCGACGTCGCTTGGCAACGTTCCCCTGCACGACGTTGCAGTCGCCATGCTTGAAGACAACCCTTTTTCGAACCCTTCTGGAACTGAATCTAGTCTGGCGGTACCTTGAAAAAAAGATTAGACAGCATTAATTCCGAAACTGACTGATTCTCCGCTACAAAGTCAAGACGAAACGTTACGAAGTCAAGTCGTTCGAATATATTATTTATTCGCATAGTATATATATTGTTGCCCAGCGCGTTAGACTGGGTGAAATCGCTGAAAATAATTTCGACAGTTTTAGAACAAAATTACAGTTGTCAAAATTGTGTGTATGTGTGTGTTTATAGACATGATTACACAATCTCTTAGCATCGTCTCGCGGAAATTTGGAGATCAAAGGCAGAGCTTTCAGCGAGACGATTTGAGAGAACTCCACGCCTTTGAACTCTGCACCGTTATCCATTGCCGAGGAAACAGCAGCTCATTTATCTTAAAAATTCAGGCAACCCTTTCCATATAAATACCACAGATTGGCAATATAAAAAGTTCTTAATGGAAAGAGAGAGAGAGAAAGAAGAAATTAATTAAATTTAACACAAACGTATGTGAGATAAAAATTACAATCTAAATTCATTATATTTTTCTCTAGAAATTTCATTATTCGATATTTTCTTATTTCTCTTTTACGTATACTTCTTTAGATTTATAATATATTTTTACATATATGGTGTACCTTATCAATTTATTTATGCATAAATTCCCGGAATACTTCAAGTGAATGGCGTTGGCGATGACTTTCCAGTGGTGTACCCTTGCGAAATACTCGTGAACGCTATTTAAAATCACCGCTCAATCTATTTTTACATCGCGGGTCAATATGTCAGGGTTGAAAGACACGAAATTCGTGCAAATTTAGAACACTGTACCGACAGCTATTAGACGATGTTTCGCTCGACCGGCAAAACCAAATGACTAATCCGAGAGATTTCGAAATCACTGCCACCGATGGTGATATAATTGTGAAAGCAGCCTTCCCCTCGAATAATTCTGTATCACTTCAGACACATTGCGATACGAGCACGTACAAATAAGACGGGACAGATGCAATCTCACTGTATTTATCGCGTCCTATTTCGATACTTGAATATTTTTTTAGCGAATAATTGGCAATGAGTTCACAAACGAGGTCTAAAATATATCGCGCGATTTTACTCGGCGAATGGCGAACCGCTGGCTGAATCAGCCCGATGCGATCTTCCAGCGATGGTAATTCGTTGTGCTTATGCCATTACGTTCATCGCCGCTAGTTGCCACAATCGCGGACACTTTCCCGCCTTGACGACGCGTGGGTGGCTCTTTCGAAACGAAAAATACGCCTCGCACGCACAGCACGCCGATATTTCGACAATAAATTCCGATGCTTTCCTATATTAAGGTGACGTTAAATAAAAGCTTCACGTGTCGTCGTGTTTTGAAAGACACGAAAAAGCGAGGAAAGCACAGAGAATGGCAGAGAAATAAGCATTGATTTTGTGCAAATTGACAAAGTGATTTCAGAGCGAGTCGGCGAGGCTATGATCGGCGACCATTCCCGATTATTTCTTTCAGAGAGAAGAGAGGAGCGGTCGGGACGGCGGTTATATACTTGAGCAACTCTTCGCGCCAAGCCGCCTCGCCGGAAGTCGTCGCCTTCACGACCATCGTGGACACTTGCGAAATTGCTCGTCGCAGCCCCGACAGCCCACCGACCATCTCGCCCGGACGATGGAGCGTCGCAGCATCCGAGGCGCGCCGTCGTCCCGACGACGTCGCCGTCTCCATCTGTCGCGTCCAAAAATTCGCGGAGAGTAACAATCGACCGTGGTTGTTGGAAAAATGATCCGCGTGAAGTATGTTTTGAGAAAAATGAAACTGAAAATTTTATTTAAAAAATGTAGATAACACTTCGAAGCATTTTTTCTTTTCTAAAGGTATTTTTGGGTACAAGCTTAGCTCTCAACCCTTTGAAGCACAGAATCTTCAAGATTATAATGAGATATTCATGTCACGTGTCTAGAGTGACGATCCAAGAGATCATTCCTTCTGAAATTAATTTTTTCCTTTTTTTATAAAACGCGCAAACTGAAGCGAATACTACGAGTAACACAAAAAACCGGTAGAGTGTATTACTGCGCACAGGCTGGGTTTCGTTGCGATATCACTATGTCTGAAGTTACGATTTGGTTCTAACAGATGATTTCACGGTGAACCACTGTGCTCCAAAGGGCTAAGAAAGTGAGTAAATATGGGGACGCGGCCAGTAGAAAACAAAAACTGCCTTTTAATTAACTTTAGGCATCCGTAGGGCTTGGATGCTTTTTTGTTTTATGTAGAAGGACGTATAATTACATAAGACATACACAAAGAACGTATATGTTATGTAGAAAGACGATTACATGTTGATAACAAAAACTTTTGGAAACGACTGTCTTACTTCGTTATAATTTTATGAGCTGGATCATGCTTGTATAATTATGATCAATTGAGACAGGGGTTCAAAGTAACATACAGTGTACGCGATATTTTTCAGACAATACGTTCGAAACAATTGTTTTGAAGAAAGCAATTGAACGAGAGATTGCCTTTTATTTGCTCGCTAGACTATTATTACGAATAATTATCATTTATCATTGTGCACGCGCGCACTGTGTGTTTGACAACTCGCACGTCAGCCGAGTCGTCAAAAAGGATGAGCTATATCAGTCACAAAGGCAGGGCAAAAGTCAGACTTATCGCGCGCGGGGCGGTCGGTCGGTCGGTTTGATGGATTACTTATCGATTGCTTCGCGATCGAATGATTTGCCGTGAGACAGGTGCAGTGAACGCGGCTAATTAAGACCGCTCGTTAACGTAACGAGGCTAACCGGGCACTGCGGATACACTTTCGGCTGGGGCCAGCCAAGAACGTCTTCTCCCCTTTGTCTTCGCGCGTGTCACTTTGGCACGAATTGCGCCGTTGAACCGTTTCACGAAGAAGAGAGCCTCGTCGGTCCAAACTTTTAATTTGCAAGATCAATTAGATCGAAATAACGCAACTGACTCCCTCGATTTGCTTTCTTTCTTTCGACTCGCTAAATTGTAGCAGTCTTGCGTATACAACTATGATCAGTCACAGAGCAGACTATTTTGTTCAATTTCAATAATATTAGTAGATCTAAAGATGATAATGTAACACATTGCAAGTGGCGAGTATAAAGTCACGATAAATTGTTCGTTTGACGATGAAATTAATTTTTTTCTAGAATGATATTGTTTGGTCGTAAAAATTTCAATACACTCCGAGGTTACCCTTGGCGCGCGAAGAGCGCATACATTCGACACTCGCGATTAAGGTGCATCTATTTTCGTACAGGGGAGGGAGAGGAATAAAGATTTCCGGCAATTGCTGCTTTGGAAATAGCAGTCGCCTGTCGCTATTTTCGGCGTGTCCCGCGTGTAAAACGCGTATTGTGATGCGAATTTTACGTCGTCGGGCGTATTTTCGAAGTAATAGTTAGTCAGTAAATAAATGTCTAATAATCCGCGGTCCGTCGTTTGCTTTATTTGCTTATTTATTTGATTATAGTAGAGCGCGAATATTTATTTAGTCATATATTATTTTATTTATTTATTTGTTCGTTTACTTTTATAATCTTCAGTTACTTTTTATCGTTATCGTTTCTCTTTTATCTTTAATTAGTATATCTTTCTATAATTCTGAACTGCTGTGAGGATATTCACTGTCTTCTAGTATTACAGTGTATTAACGTTCTTCGTTGGAAGAAACTTGCGTTAACGAGCGAATTAACGAACGAGCTGCTTGCGCGATGTCCTCGTCGGGTATCACACACGGAAACGATAGCTTATCGTTTTCCTATTGGAATTCGCTTATGCAACATACGTCATAGATATTTACATATAGAGAGGCTAGTATTGCGTTTATTTTTCGACATTTCGAAAGTGGAATTAACGATGTTGTTTATGATATGTCAATATGTACGAGTCAGAATACAAAATATACAATTTATATCAATTTATATATACAGGATGTCCTAGATTCTCCTTCAAAATTTTTGTGGGAACGAATTGAAGTGAACATAAAAATCCCATACCGTTTTGCAATATTCGCAATGGCAGTAAGATATTAATTAAAAATTTTAATTGAAGATGAGCTGTAGCGACGCCGTCAGCTGTTGTATACTTATATATTAGATCAAACTTAATAAAAAAGTCTTGTACCATTTTACAAATGATCACATGGATTTTTAAATATTAATTAAAGAAAACTTGTGCATTATCATGCACAATCATGTAACAAACAATTTTCGACGCGGTCCATACGGCGCTTCGAAATGTTTGCAGCGTCAAATGGATCTTGTCCTCTGTTCACTTGTACATCAACACTTGTATAAACCGTCCCCTCTCTCTCTCTCTCTCTGTCCCTCTTTCTCTTTCTGTATACGGGAGCGTGTGCACGTGTGCGTGTGTATCATGATCAGAAAGTGTGAACTATAAAACGCAAAGAGACAAGCCATAAATTTGCTGCTCGTCTGGCACGACGATAAAATACGCTTGGTATAAATGTTTAAATTGATCATTTCATTTCTGGCTTTCTATAACCTTGAGCATTCTGTTATCATGCGATGTTGAACATATCTTGACACGACCGCTTTCGCAGGATTAAGAAAACCTCTCACTGTTTCACGTTAAAAAAGAAAGAGAAACTGTTCAAGTAACTTTTGCATTTCAAACTTTACGAATATCACTGTTAACACACTTTATATATTCCTTATAGAAAATAAAAACACTGTTCATGTTGACTTACAGAAACAAATAGAGACGCGACAGCATCTTCGTGATTTGCTCTTTCATTGTTTGATTATTTACTTAAGTACTTTTGGTTCCAAGCGACTCAAGTGCGATAAACCGACTGACTTGGCGTCGTAGTTTTTCATCCTAAGAATTTTCGCGATAAGTTAACACACAGGCCGAATTACGGATGTAACTCATAATTGCGACTATTACTGTATTTAACCGCGTAATGGTCGCTAATCGATGTCAATTAAACGGCAATTATTTGCACAAAAGTGTCCGACGCTAAACACAACTGCGATAAGGCGTGCGAAACTAGGAAGAAACTACAATAAGCTAACATTATTGAAGCTAAATTTCCCTATTTTTTCGGATCTCGCGGTTCTTCGAAAGTTTAACTTTCACACGAATTTTCCTACGAAAATTGCTGCGATTTCACACATTCTCACCTATTCAACAGCGGACCCGATTCGCCCTTGAAGCTAATCCTGCTGAAGGCTCTTCTCTTGAACGTGCTGAAGAGGTCGTGTTTCCTTGGACTTACAGTTTCGGCCGTTTCTTCCGCGGAATCCTCGCCGCAAAACTTCACAGCGACCGCAGCCGCCGGCATCGACGAGTGCACCAATAACTGACCCAAAGGTGAATTCGTGGCCGAGGGATCGTCCGCTGCGTCCTCGTGGACCACTGCCTTACCCCGACTTGTCATCCTCAGCCCCGTCTGGCTCCAATTTAATGGCGACGATCATTAATGTGGCCGTCGTCGATCAGACGAGTCTATTCGGACGACCGAAAAGGTCTTCTTTCTTTCCCACAAGACTCTTGCACTGCATTGAGAGAAAAAATATTGAAAACTTATTTGCAGAATATAATTTTTTTCACAAAAATAAGCTTAGCCCTCCACAGAAATGTTTTACTCCAGAAATAAGCTTCGCATCCCACAAATAAATTTACCAGCATTTTTTCCCGATGTATATTTTTCTGAATGACTCGGCCGATCTGGACTTGCGCGAGACGACAATGGAGTTTCGCGAAGGAATGTTGATGCATTGAGGGGTGTTTTGTCGGGAGATGAACGCGAAAAGCGCGGGGAGGTGCCGGCATGACTTATCGCACTCGCCGTGAAATTAATGACGAGTTTGTTTAATCTTTCGCGATTATTTGCAAACAACTGCCCGCGGATTCACAGAGATCATGGGGTTTCTGCGAATTGTGTCTGTATCTTCTATGTGTCTGAACTCACGCACGCACGTGCCACCTGTTGCCTTTAAAGCGCGTGTTTATGCGCGCCCGACACCCACTCGGTGGGTTTTTCCATTTTGCCTCTCCTTTCTCCGAAGTATCCGAGAATTCGAACTTATTCGAAGTTCTCTTGCGATCCGATTCGACAGTAATTGAATCAAATGTACTATCTGACAATTGATTTTTAACATGTCGGATAACAAATTCCTACAACAGATTTATGTGCTTCAATTAATTTAATAAACCGCTCCGACGGGCAATTTAATAATATACGCCCGGCAGTTTTGATATTAATCCTATGTACTCTTCCTTACTTCTTTTTATCTATTGCTTTTATATGAACGCGAGAGTGCCGTGCAAGTACAGTTTAATAATACGGTATTAAATAATAACAAGTTAACATATGTTATATCGATGAACGCGTGAAAGATAAAACCATTGAGCAATTTGTCGCAGGTCGATCAATGAATTAATGACTATAATCAATGTCAATCATTTCAATCAATCCATTATCTCCGAGACTTAATTTACTTCACGTTTTCGTCCTTTAGCATGCGACACTGAACTCCTCCTTGGCTTCGCAGCGCGAACCGTCACCTTATCAGTTCTCCTTCTTTTATCACCATCGCGTTTCGTAGTCGGCTTTCGTCACTCACTCGGCACTGCAGTGGACGAAGATCAAAAGAAAGGCTCGCCAACGAAGGAAGGAGCTTGGCGACGATGATAATTGCACTCGTGAGATTTTTTCGGTCTCCACATACGGCGCACTGCTCTGCCGCGCTCCTCGAGCAGCCGGCACGGGTCAAATCCCGCGAGGATCTATCGATCCTCGTCGGCGACGACGGCGATCATTTCACGCGCTCGACCGCGATGCTCCGCCGAGATTGCGGCGACACGAGTGTATCGCGCCCCACGAGCGAGAAATAAATCGCAAGTCCCCGCGTGTGGGCGAATGCGAAAGCGTTCGCATACGCGCACCGCGAAGGAAGAACGTGACGCGCGCGGCGCGGATAAGATTGCCGCGCCGTTTTATCGACGGCCTGGTTTCCGCTCGATTTCGTCAGTGGTTCAACGAATCCATTTGCGAGATTGCGATAGTTATTTGGATTTTGAGAAACCGCAAACTGAAAGCTAAGGAAGATCAGAAAAGCCAGGTGTTCCCCACTGAACAATTTCTATTCAGATCTAAAATGAAACTTCCAAAAAATTTTCTATATGAGGTCTCATTTGTTTTATGTGATATTACAATTGAGATCTCAATAGAAATTTTTCAGTAGGGTTGCCAATCGATAAACAAAAGTTCGAACGCGCGACCCAAACAAATCACGATGATGTCAAAATAACGAGAAAATAATCGAATCATGATTAAAAAGTGAGGTTCTTCAATTATCTTCTCATCTTGACATCATTTTGACGACATTGCAATTTTTTGTGATTTCCACCTGGGAAACCAAGTGAAGAGGTAATCGCGCAATCTTTCGTAGCTGGAAGCAATACATCGAAGATTGTAGACACGTTTAATTGCGATTGCTTCAATCTGTAATTCAAATTATAGCTCAACGAGTTAAAATAGTCTGCACAAATGTAATAAGTTTATTTTTCCTTGATCTATATTTCTTCTTCTGTGATTTAATGTTCGTTTCCCTGTATATCGATCTTTCAACACGTGCAATTCTTCTCCTGTATTTCTTTCAACTGTTTTAATATCTGTTCCGAGTCTCCGTTACCGACAGATATCAATCGCAGGGGAGAAAGATGTGGTCACAGATCGAGAGATTAAATTTAAACTGCGACTAAGAGAAAGAAAGAGAGAGAAAAGAGTGAAGCAAAAAGAGATAGAGAGAAGGGAACTATTCTTGTAAGAATCTATTTTATTCTCGTTTGGATGACGCTCAAAAAATATGCAACGTCGGTGTTCACGCGCAAAGTATACACACACAATATAGCAACATTTGTAACGTACTGTACATTACATATATTTACATATATTTACATTTTAGGTGTGTGTATAAAATATTTACAAGGATATATTTTTCATATATTTACTGCATCCTATTTATATTTCGTATCCTAACATACGATAAATAATTATTTCTGTTGCTATCATTTTACTTCTATGGCATCGATTTTTTATTTTCTTTATTTCTCAATTTTCATTATTCATTATTTTTTATTATTGTCATTATTTATTATCGTTGTATCTTGTACTCTGTTAGATTTTAACTTCAGTTTTTTTTATTCTCGCTACCTTTACTCTACAAAAAATTGATATTTTTTTCTTTTTTTGCCGAGTTTTTAAATTTCCCGACAATGGTATATAATTAATTTTATATACTTGCACATTTGGTTATGAAATATTATAGAACGCTACTTTATCAACTTCCGGCAACGCAGTTCCATCATAAGAAATGCCTTCATATTGGGGTCTTGCACTCGTTCCAAAATAGCTGTCTGCAAGTTTACATCTGACGTGCTGTCGATTGTGCTGCTCAATCGTTCTGCGTATTGAATCCACACACAGTTCGCGCATCCTGACATACAACAGTTTGTTGGTTCTGCCAGATCGTCAACTGGAGCTTCCTTCGAGTTGTTTTCTCCAACTTCCTGCTTATCATCGTCCTTCTGTACCGAGAAGCTTCGTTGATAACAACGCAAACCCGAAATGACTATTCTCGATGATCGTAGTGCGAATTTCATTTGTTTCAGCAATGGTCAGGTCGATTGCAGTAGTATCTGTAGTCGGAGTGAAACAAACGAGTGTTTTAATTGTCGTGGGTGATAGCTGAATTGGTAGAGAAGTTCAGTCTCACCTCGATCGAGGTGTAAAGATAATCGTCTAACAAAAACTGAGTGCGCGTAATAGTGGAATTTACATGACACAATACACTTTTTCACACTGAATTGCGCATGAAATATGTTCCTATCTAGTAAATTGCTAAATATAACTATTTAAAACTAGAAGCTGTAGGAATTTACGTTTATGACTATAATTCCTAGATGCAGCCCACACTAGAGAATTAAATTTGTTTTAAATCCATCTTCAGATACTATACAAATTGTTCTATTGGCTATGAAACATCTGCAGATGAACTTAAAACGATCTTACATATAAGATCCCTCTTCTTTCATTGATTAGAAGTTTCCAATCGACTAGAGTTACTCTAAGCCAGTGACATAGTCAGAAAAAAGTTTCGGGGGAGACTGCACTTTTTATTTTTGACGAGAAAAAAAGGTCATTCAAAAAAAATTTTTTCATACTTATAGCGTGTTCGACTGGCCCTGAGTTAATCGTTCCGAGAGCGATTAATGACGTCAAAAGTCTCTACTAGCCAATCATAAAGCTTATAAGTATTTGTTCGACCAATAAACGTAGGCTGAATAACCCAGAATGGGTTAACCCAGAATCAGTCGAACATGATATTAGCGTAACCCAGAAAATTAATTTCGGGGGAGAGGCTGCAGCCCCCTCAGCCCCCTTTGGCTACACCTCTGCTCTAACCAGAGTTTGGCCACGACTGTGATTTTATCGAAATAGGAGTACTGTGATTGGATACTGTGTGGAATTTAATAAAACATAGACCAGTCAAAAGTTGTTTCCTCGTGGCCAAACTCTATAATAAACCGTTAAGATGCGGGTCCAATTGTCCGTAAACATATCCGTATCCGTAATCATAAACAAAATCGAGTCGTGATTGGTCGTGATATATATATTTTATGCCTTATGTGTTATCTGTTACGACTATAAATACGGTCCAGCAGGCGCTGCAAATGCTTTGTAGCGTTTGTACTTCACTCTTTCTTCATTCGAATCTGAGGAATAGAACAAGAGGGAGAAACACTACGCAGCATTTGTAACGGTTGTTGGACCGCACCCTATGAATATACATGAACCCCGCGACCATACGACCAGAAAAGTGAAGCCAACATGTACATGTAGAAAGAGATCATAGACATAATATACATAGCCCGTATTCATAGTCGAATCTTATTTCAAGACCGTCTTAAATAGTCTTAAGATGCGAATACGGCTCTGTGTTTGGTTCATGACATCTTAAGACAGTACTTAAGAAGATCTTAAATATAAGATCGGACTATGAATACTGGCCCTAGAGTGACACCCGTTTAACCACGGTGCGATTGGACGAGAGCGTCCCGATTGACCACGGTACGATTGGACACAACCAACCGATGCAAAGAATTATCTAGTGAATTATCAGGTCGAACCAATTATTACAACTGCGTCAATCGTACTATGGTCAATCGCGTCCTACCCGACAGCATTAGGGTGCTATTTCACGTGTCGTACGACACGTGAAATATCAGCCTTAGGTAGCTTTGGGTTGTCATAAATCACATAATAGTAGTAGATGGTGATGTTTATAACTTATTTCTATTCTAGGAAAATGATTCGGAGAGGTATTAACGAAACACCCTATGTGATCTTCATTCCACATGTAAAGTTGTATTTCAAAACGTTCTTTTGTTATGAACTTTTATGATTTAAAAGCAAGTCAGAATACATTTTCATTTTCAAATTTGGTGATTATATGTTTAATCAGAGATTTTATTTTCGAATAATTACTTAATGGCTTAATATCGGATTAATCATTCTTGTTATCCATAGTTATTGAATTCAAAAAATCTAACGATTTCTAATTTTAATAGTCAAGAATCGAGTCAAATCATTATTGTTTCTAATTTAACAAACAGAAATTTATGTATTGTAATATGATGGGGAGTGATGTTTATTTTCAATTAGGTTAGAGTGACCAACTTTTAGAGAAGAACAAATTGTTAAAATTACAACATAACGTAATACTTATTAATTTGTAACCGATTATTGTCAATATGTGGTGTCTTGAAGAATACCAAGGTATTGAGAGTGTTAATCATCAAGTATTAAATCTGAATAATCTAAAATTGATAGAATCTAATCACTACATATAATACAAACTTTTTACTTTATTTTAGGTCGTTGCATTTATATTCTGCCAGAACATAAAGTATCTTTTGGCAAATCTATAAGCAACATCCAGATTAAAAATGATAGCACAATAAGCAGGCTTCATGCAGTTGTTTCGATAGAACCTTGTGAAGAATCTGAAGTAAATCTGATCTTATCTACTTGTAATCATGTATTTCTTTAAATATATTTTTTAAAATGTTGAAATTTTCTTTAGCTGCAATATAAATGTGTTATATGTGATGTATCCAAGTACGGAACATATATTTTGCGAAATGAAGAGAAGAAAAGATTGCCTAAAGATGAAAAGTTTGTTCTAAAACCTGATGACAAAGTGCAATTTGGCCTAAAACACAGTATCTTCATGTAAGCTTAAGATGGTTTATTTGTTGAGAATTTTTCTACAAATTCTGCCATTGCAGTGTGACATATCATTCCTTTGTGGTTGTGACATCGAGTTTGAACAAAGAAGAAGCAGCCAAATTGAAGAGCATTATGACGAATCTTGGAGGTACACTATCTGACAGCTGGAATGTTTCCTGCACACACCTGACAGTGCCTAAGCAGTTTTTGTTCACTACAAAAGTAAGATTTCATAAATATATTTAAAAAATTAATGATTGAACCTTCTCTTCAATAATCTTTTTCTTTTATATGCACTTTATGCAGTTGGCTTGTGCATTAGCCTCTGCCAAAACAATTGTCACCATTGCATATTGGGAAGCAGTAATGGAAGCTGTGGAGAAAACCAAAGAATTGCCTAAAATCAGTGATTTTCTACCTACTGTAAATGAGAATTGGCTGCAAGCTAGTTCGAAATTATTCTTACCTAAGGAAGAACGCAAGACGCTATTTTGCGGCCTGTTTTTCGTGCACTTCTGCGCGAAACAATATGCTTCGTACAATTGTATAATTTACGCGGCAGGTAATTAATTTTAATGGACTTTTCTGCTCTTAAAATAGCAAATAAACAAGAAATTACTAACATGAAATATGAAACTCTCGATGTCTGTGTTCTTATTATTATTCGATGTTTTTTTAGTAGCTTAAAATTGGAATCATGTTTTAGGCGGAAGATCGTGTATATATCCTACAAAGAAGCCTTTGACACCTCGGGATCTGATGGCCAAGAATGCTGTTATTATACAACAGCCTGCCAATGATTCCTCGCAATTCACAGTTCAAACTATCGCAACAGATTATCCGATCATTCGTAAGTGATAGAAGTGGTCGTAAAATAATCCTGTATCAATTATCAAAACGTCAATATTATAACTCCATCGTAATATGCAATATATCCATCTTGTAGATCACAAACTGAGTGTGCTCAAGCGCAGAATGATCTCCGACTCAGAAATCCCACTTGCCATTCTGAACTGCTCCACCGAGAGATTTTGCAATCCTACATTTGACTTCGGCACACTTCTTAAATCGAGCACGCAAACGTTCTCCCCCTCTGGTTTGGTGATTGTTGAAGACACACAGGATGTGCCGTTGACAAGTAATAAGAGAAAACACGAAAGTAACGAACAGCAACGAATTATTCCCGAAACTCTCGACTCGCCGTTTGACAGTGATATCTCAAAAAGAGCACGTCCCGAAAGTAAGGAGAGAGATATTCCCGGGAACAGCAAGAACGGAAGCGGTATTGCCTGTATCTTTTCCAGCACGGCCACCAAACAACCCCGAATTATTCCGGAAACTTGCGATTCCTTAGACAAAACTTTAAACAAAAATGTCGCGAATGACAATTTCTCTCGGAGTAGCACCAGAAACCCTCGAGTTATTCCTGAATCTTGGGACAAAAGTAGCGTGGATGATTTCAGTGTAGGAAATGAGTGTCGCGTGAAAAATTTATTGCAAGTAGATGTTGAAGCTAAACAACAAGAAGAAATTATTTTGGAGAAAACGAATAACTCTGTTCCCGAAAAACGTAATTTAATCTTTGAGAAAGAGGATCTGTTACTTGAAGATAATAATACGACATTTAAAAAACATAATTTGTCACTAAAAAGAAAGAACTTGAGTTTTGAAAAGCGCAATCCTCTTCTCGAAAAGAATAATTCAACTAATCAGAATGTCGAGGATGAGAGTGAAAGCTGGAAGAGCTCAAAGGGGCCACGTATTGTATCGATAGAGAAGATCAATGTTGGTGGTAAAGACAACATCTGTACAGATCGAGTGACGGAAAAGTCGTTGGAAAAAGACTGTTCCAGAGTTGAAGAGACTCCAAACTTAAAATTAAAACATCAAGATAAACGTGATAAAAAAGTAATCGACGAAAACAAGGGAGATAAAGAAAGGGAAGAAAAGTCGCGAAAAATGGTAAGTAATAACTTAATAATAATTGTTATATTATAACAAATCCTTAGAAATAAGGTTCTTAAAAATATTCGACTACATTAAAGTATGTTGTGAGCTAATAAGAGTTACCACAGGATTTTAGTTTGCATGAATTGATTAATATAATCTTATTAGCCCACTATATACTTTAATGTAGTCAAATTATTATATTTAGTAATATATAACTATTGTATATATTTTTTTATATTTTTTTCAAATATATAAGGGAACGAAAGAAGTGAGGATAGAGAAAAGTGATAAGAATAAAGAAGAAAAACCCCGAAAAATAGTGAGTAATTGATCAATCAATAATTATAATATTAGTATTGTGACAGCGTATATATACTTGTGCCGCGACATGGAAGTCTGCAATCATTACTCTTTTTTTTTTTAGAGAACTGATTGGTATGATAACTACTTAGGTTGCGAGTTCACGGATGAGATCCTGCGCAAAAGCGAACCGTGCGGCAAAAGATTCGTGAAGGTCTGTATGAGCAACTTAATATGCCATTTTGGACAGCATTAATAAATGTTCTTTTTTCAATGTAGGCATTTGTTCCGACCCCCGTTAGAAAACTGGGTTCAGATGACTTTGTTCTGTGATTTGCTAAGAAAAGTGACTTACACACAGTGATCAAATCACACGTGCAAATAAATAGTTGTTCCTTTTCATACCTTTTGTATTATCTATAATTAATAACAGATAAAAATGATAATATCTTCGAAATTAATATTTAAAATTTTACATGTTTATTGTTATTAAAAGAAAGGAAGAATGCATTTTTTTGTAAATAAAAATTGTTGCTAAAGAAGCCTTATGTTTCCGATAAGGCTAGAATAAATAATAAAAAAGCAGAAATATATGTATTCTGTATAACTGATAGATACACAGTTTGTACTACATTTTTTATTTTTGTAAAAAATATATTTAGAGAGAAAAAGAAATGATACGTTAATGTCCGCTTGTTCCACTTATACAATTATTATATTTTATCGAGTATTTGTCGGGTGAAACTTTTTTTTTAAACGCGCGCGCATGAAGAGCGAAAATATGCTTTATCAGCGCGGGAATCGTCATTACGCCGCAACTACACACATATGATGGATACGGGGAAAAAATGGTAGAACTGGAATAGAGGACATATGCGTTTATTCCAGCGCACGGAGTTCTTCGGTTCATATGTCAACTTTTAACGCGATCTCTTCGTCCCTTTCGCAAATCCTCTCGACTCTCTTCTTGCCGTCGTCTGCAGGGCGGCTTGAATGGATGTGATCTTGGAAGAAAGCTCGCCGCCTCCTCCACATAGAATCGCGCGCAACCTATCGATTCTTTGGTCCGTGCGTACGTAGATATTTTCATCGGGAAAAAGACGCGCTTTCGCGAAATCGACGACGATGACTTTGCGAAAAGACTGCCGCGTGAGATCGCGGAGAAGAAAACCTTCACGCGATATTTATTCATCTGGAAAAAGAAACCTCATTTTCGTCCCGAGAGATAGTATCGCGAAGCAATAATGAACAGGACTTATCTCGTGGTGTGTTCCAATACGTTCATAATTCACTACAATTCGTCTCAGGATTATTTTAACAATTTTCCTGTGAAACTCGTATTCCGTTTGAAAAGGAAACAAGGGAAAAGGAAGAAAGAAGAGATCAGAACTGTTGTCGCACTAAAAGGCGAACTTTGTGCGCTTCCAGTGCAGCGTAGACAGACGTCAGCGATTTTCCAGCGTAAACAAATTTCAAGAATCGCGAGACGAGGAGGAGAAGTAAGTCAAGTCGACGAAATTGGTCGGCAATCTTTCGCACAACTCGGGAAAGTTCGCGATGCCGCGTCGGGCGGGGAACTTTCGCCACCGCTAATCGCGAACAAACGTCAAAGGACAACAGCAACCGGGCGAGAATAACGAGGGAGAGTCGAAGATATTTGTCGCCTTTCCCGGCAAAATAGCGCGACGTACTGATTGACACAATTAAAAGCGCCCCGTAATTATAACATTGTTATAGTGTTATACTTGGTACTTACACGAATATCTTTTATGAGGATTACGGCAGTCTTACTTTGACTAAAATTATACTCTAAAGTGAAATAAAAGCTGACCAAAAAAATCAACTTTGTTATTCTGTTTCGAGACTTAATATCAGCCGCGCTCGAAATAAACTGCAACTGCTCTGGAGTCGCATTGCCGCACTGTTATTTCAAACGGAATAGCTGCAAACTGTCAGATAAGCGAGATTGGGTAGCAAACTCGACGTTCATTTTTTATGATCGGATCACGGGAATGATTGTTGCATTATTCATCGTGATTGCAACCGTTACCTCGTCGAGTCGAGACTATTTTCGCGCGCGCGCCGTTGACAAATTAAAATGTCGCACGTCTGCGGCGACGATGACGTCGCTAAATCGAGACACCATTATTGCAACTTTCAGATCTAGTCTTATTCGAGGAAGACAACCGCGCACTTAGAACTAGTCGATGCATTGCATAGCATAGCATGGCCAGAAATTCTGCAGTTTTCCACGAGATTGTCGATTATTCTGATCGATGAATGAGGAACTGCCTGACTATTAGCGGTCTCGCTCATTGCGTCCGAGATATCTCTCTCGCGAAGATCCTGTACGATTTTATTCTATACTTTTGACAGACAGAAATTACATTCACGAATCTACCAAGTAATGAATTTAGATTCAGTCACTAAATAATTTTCACTCTCTCCACCGAATGAAGTCGCAACGCTTCAAGCTGTCAGAATTGAAAACCACCGCTGATATATGTATGTGCAGTAATCGGATTTGACAGTGGCTGAGATAACGGTGCAGAATGTGGTATTTTGTGAGAGAAAGAATTTGTTGTAAATTAAGAGGATGCCAAAGTAAACGACCTCGAGAAATGCCGATAACGTAGAGACGATCATTACTAACACGCTGTTTCTTTTACGTGTTTCTTATACATATGTAGACCTTATACAAATGCGTGTTGCTTTGTTTTACCGGTATTTAACGGAAAATTTGATCATGAATATATGGAAATATTTCTGCAAACTTTTCGTATATATTTTTAAGCTTCTCTATATTTAAGTCGTAAAGGTACAGTAGTCTACTTTGAAATTATTTTGAGTGGAGCAAACACATCCGTTCGATGAGCACAAACTGCATACCTTTTGTATCAGGGAAATATTTACATCGACTGACAGCTCGAGATGTCTACTTTGAAACCTTTTACTGCTTTTCTCTCGCATATTGTTCTCAACAATGCTCCTATTCGCTTTTGCATGTACTTTTAATGTGTAAAAGCAAAATTTGCCACTTTGTGCAACCAATATATACATTTCGCAGAAAGAGGTCAATAGTTTGTCGATAATGTTATCAAGTCGATAATGTTATCGGCATCCCTGTAAGAGAACATTATTTTGAGAAGTGATTTTTACATATTTATATACCAGTATTTATGTATCGATTATATTTATATACCGGTTACTATGCATGCATATATCAGCGGTGTGTTTTAACTGTGACAACTTAAATCGTTGCGACTTTAATTTCAATTTCGACTTCGATTTCGATAGAAAGTGAGAAAATCGTTTATTTACAACCGAGTTTATATTGTACAGTTTCGGGGCGAATTCTATTCTGATATCGGTGACACTTCGTTACTTACTTACTTACTTCGATTTGCCCCCGATGAAGCTCGACAATATCCACAACGGGATTTCACGATTCCGCGAATTTTCCCTATTATTCTAACGAATGAAAGAATAACGGGAGAAGAAGTGAGTGAGTAAATGAGAGGAAGATAGATAGATAGATAGAGAGAGAGAGAGAGAGAGAGAGAGAGAGAGAGAGGGAAAGAGAGAAGGGGATTTCCAGAGGGTGGTGAACGGGAGGAGGTACGCTTCTCTTCTTTACTCAGCTGCATCACGTGCGATTCGCGTGCGCGCGCTCGCGAATTCCGGCGATTATGCAAATGCCGTCGCATTAAAATGCATTCTATCGAAAATCTCCGATTTTATTCCGCGAGGGGCGATGTCGAAAGGCGCGCCTCCTTTCCGCGCGTTGCCTTCCGCGCGTTCTTTCGCCTCGGTCGCCTCCGTTGTTGGTGACCTCAGCCGTCTAATTCGTCGTCTGTAATTTCATCGCCGCCGCAGCGACGAGCGCGTCGCGTGTAATTTGTATCGTATTTAACTTCGCACCGAGCTCGTGAATTTATCACGACGCTAATAAAATTTCGGAGTCGCAACCTCGTCTCTGATTATTCAGGATGACTCGTTCGTTCAAGGAAGTATTCTGTAAAGCTCGCGGAAAAAAGATAAGACACTCTCCCGGAATATCTTGCATGGAAACGAGAAAACCGCATAACGTCGAACTTTGCATGTTTCTTGAAGCCTAACTTCAAGAATATATTTTTGTTGTCCAAGTGACGAAAACGCTCCTCCTTTTGTATGTTATATCCTGATTGCTGGGAGCTTGCAAGAAAGAACGCACATTCCGCGACTCTTCTAGGTATCTGAAACGCAAACACCAATAATAAACACATAACAAAAAATAGTTTGGTTGGATTAACCAAATATTTGGTGAAATATGAACGAACCAGAATTCCGGTTAAAGTTAGAATTCCGTTCGAGTTGACGAGATCTCCAGTTGATCAGAAATCTTTGTGTCTGTAGTATAGAAATATATATTATATACCTAGAGAGAAACAGATGCGATCGGAGGTTCCTCTGTCTTATCGTCATTATTATTATTATTATTATTATTATTATTATCGTTGTCGTTATCATCAGTAGCAATTACCGCGCGGGTCTCCGAGCGGCTAAGACGCCGTGGATTAATAAGCGAGATCCCCGATGGCGCACGAACCGACGTCTTCTCGGTGGCATTAGCGGGATCTGCTCCCGACAGTAACAGTAACAGGATCCTTCCCTTTGAAGGAGCCGATCGGCGTGCGTGAGAGGGATGAGAGGCAGGACGGCGGGGGATGTATATCCTGTTAATTACACCACCGTCTCGAATTTGCCTGTGACGTCAGATGTCCCGAGCAGCGCTCCGTCTGCTCCCTGACAGATCTCTAGAGTTGCCTTTCCGTCGCGAATTATGGCCGATTAATAGTAATCACCTGCCTGCCTGCCTGCCTTGCCTGCTTGTTTGTCCGCCTGCCTGTCTGCCTTCCGATCCATAAATCGCAGATGAGATCGAGACAACAATGAACTAACGAGAACGATCTCGTCTGGTACTTCTCTCTCTCTCTCTCTCTCTCTCTCTCTCTCTCTCTCTC